TGTAACGTTTTTTTTCGGAATAATGTATTTGGCTTCACTTCTGCACCGCGTCATATGAATCTGAGAGCAATCACGTTCAGATGCTGGTTTCTCGTTTCCCCCTCCTTTTTTGGGGGGGGGAAGACGATTGTTGGCTGTTTGTGCACTTGCTCCCCGTGACAGGCCGGGAGCATTCATTGCCTCAGCTCCCAGACAGACTGTAACGTTTGTAACGTTGGAAATTCGAATCATGTATCTGGCTTCACTTCTGCACAGAGTGGGGACTGTAACGTTGCAAATTCGAATCATGTATCTGGCTTCACTTCTGCACAAAGTCATATGAATCTTAGGGCAATCACGCTCAGATGCAGGTTTCCCTTTTTCCCCCTTTTTCCCCCTTTTTCCCCCTTTTTGCTTTTTTTTTGGAAGAAGATCCTTCACGGGAGCATTCAATGCGTGAGTGGAAACAAGAAAACGACGGCCTGTTTGCGTTCCATCTGCTGGCAGCAGCTCCAGCATAAGGGGCGGTACCTGCTTGCAGCAGCAGATGTCCCTTCCCACTCCCCGCAGGCTCGGCAAAAATCGGCGCGCAGACGAAAATGAGGATCGGTCCTGAACAACCGGTAGGTACTGGTGGTTTAACCAAGTGATCACCAGCTCAACAGGGGTTTGAACTTTGAACCCTCCCGTGGTGAGGTCTAAGGTGGAAAGAAAGAAAAGGACCAAAAAAAGAGTCATCATAGCGGGCTGCGATGGAAAGAAGGTGTCAGCATTCATAGGATTTTCACCAACGAATCAGGAGGGTCAGCCCTCAACAGTCTGCACGGAAAGAAAGAAAGAAAGAAAGAAAGAGAAGCAAGAAGTATGTGAAAGAAAGTGAAAGCAAGAAATGGAAGGAAAGAAAGCAAGAAAGCAAGAAAGCAAGCAAGCAAACAACAAAGCTAGAAAGAACGCAAGAAAGGAAGCAAGAAAGGAAGCAGGAAAGGGAGCAAGAAAGGAAGCAAGAAAGGAAGCAAGAAAGGAAGCAAGAAAGGAAGAACTAGGTGTCCCTATGTACGCTGCTTGTATGGGAAGTACGTTAGCGTACATAAAGAGTACTCTACGGGCACCTGGCATTGTACGCGTGCGAACGACGCTGTTTTCGGCCCTAAAAAATGCCTTGAATGCCTTCTTTTATATATATATTTTTTTCGGTCTATGCGGTTTGATGGGGGGAGGATTTCCCCGAACACGATGCACCTTCATTATGGCTGCACCAGACCGGAAAGTTAGCTTGTATTCGTTTGTTATTAGGGTGTATTCTTTTTGCCACCCTGATAATGAATGTATACAAGCCATCTTTCCGGTCTGGTACAGCCGAAATGAGGGTACATTGTGTTTCGGGGGAGGAGGCCGGGGGGAAGGGAGCGAGAGAGAGAGAGATGAAGAGTGCGGGGCGCGGCGCGGCGCGGCGCTGCAGCTGCGCTCAGGCAGAAGAAGCGTGCGCTGCACACACACACACACACACACACACACAGAGAGAGAGAGAGAGAGAGAGAGAGAGAGAGAGAGAGAGAGAGAGAGAGAGAGAGAGAGAGAG